AMSAAAWWWWTMWWTTTTKRTTTAATAATATAATTTTTATAAGAATAATAATTAATTATTCTGTTAAAACTCATGATTATTTTAATTTTATTTTAATTATATATATATATATATTTATTTAAAATAAGATATTTATCTTGTATTTGATTATGTTTATCTGCAATTAGTTACACGAATTCAAAAATAGAGCTTTAATAAGTTGTACCTACACATAATTTACTTGTAATATTAAATTTAAGTAATATGCATCAATAAATAGTATTTCATGCATAAAAAATGGTTTTTAAGAATTTTTATCAAATGTTTTATAATATAGTATAGATAATATAATCTTTTTATATATAATTAATTCTTTTATTATAACGTAAGGTTTAAAATAACGAAGTAATTTATTTTAGGTTTAATACTATAATGTTTTTTAATAAAAATAATAATTAAGTATTCTTTTAAAATTTCATAATATCTTAATTATATTTTATATTATTTATATTTAAAATAAGATATTTATCTTGTATATGATTATATTTATCAGTTAGTTATATAAATTCAACAAATAATTTTAAAAAATTGAATTCATACAACACCTACTTGTAATATTGAATTTTAAGTAATATGTATCACACACAGTATTTGACACATTAAAAATGGTTTTTAGAAGACTAACTCAAATAAATAACGTAATCCACATTTTCTTAATTTATTTTATTTCGAACTGTGTTAAATATAAACAAAATTACATAGTTAGATGTGATGATACTTACAATAACTCGATATTACTTATGCACCTAATTCAAATATGATTCTAATTCCAAATTACAATAATTATTTTTTGGTTTTTATATTTTTTTTAAAATCATGGTATCAATTTACGGACTTCATAATAAAACGTGTGTAGATAAACACTTTAATGTTGCTTATAGTCCAAAAGGGAGTAAATGCTCACGGTGGACCACACAAAATTATGTATCATAAATTAAAAATAGCAATTTTTTTATAAAAAAATATTAGATACCAATTAAAAATAAATATTTCAAGGCAATAAATGATGACGTACTCATCATAACGTGTTCAACATGACGTAATAGTACATATATTTTGATTATTAAGATAAATTTTAGTTTTTTTATTGTGTTCTCAAAATTCAGATATATATGAAAAAAAGGAAAAAGAATGAATTAAAAGAGTTAGTTTGATACGAATGAGTCAAGAGGTATGACCCTTTGAATTTTACTACAAAAATTGTTACGGCAAATAACAAATAGTTTTGACCATTTGGATCCACACTTTTTACGTTATATATATATATCTTACAAAACTTGGCAAGTTCAAAAAAATCATCTACGAGTGCATATGAGTTGTGACCCTAAAGGTTGCTATGAAAATGCTATGACATGTTATGACAAATTAAGAGATGGTCACGGCTATTTAGATCACCAAATTTTACAGCATATAGATCTTGAAAAACGAACAGCTTCAAAAAAAAATTTCAATTTGAACTACAAATTAAAAGTTATGGTCTCTAAAATTTACTACGAAAATGGTCACAAAATCATCTTCCTCGCTATCAAGCATGTGTCAAACTGGTATGAAGCACTACTCGAGCACCTTATATGTGAGACAAGGAAAAGAGCCTCGGGAATCGAACAGTGACGGATCACGAAAATTAATGGGGTTAGGGCACGTTGGATGGGACTTTATCAAGTAGGCATCAAACACTATGTAGTGGGGAGACGGAAGAGAGGGATATTCAAACACATCAAAACTAGATAGGTTTCAACTGAGAGGAAGATTTGAAGACGTAAAGATTACTTCCGTAATCATAATGAATGAAATGAATCAAGTGCATATCAAACTCAAATCCCAAATCCATCAAAACCCATTGAAAGGCATCAAGATCGTATCAAGAAGGCATGCTATTAAACAACCGGGTCTAATGTGTTAGAAAAACGACAATCCAATTATTGTGCATATTTTGGACATTTAGAGTAGTATTAAGAGCATACAATGTTGTTTTTTTCATATGGTTTTAAGAGATCTTTCAAAAGTGAAAAAAATCCACCTTTCAATATGGTGGCAGCTTTTTTGCCGGAGGTTTTTCATGAGTTTTTTTTCCGCTATAGGACGTAACTGCATAACTTATTTATAGTTTTTTGTATTTAATCAGTTTTAACATTGTAAAAGTTTTGTATTTAATCAACTTTATTTATTAATATAATTAAAGTAATTAATTTAATAAATAAATAATGTAAAATAAATACATAATTAAAGTAATAATATTTTCTTGCTATAAATAAGTACGTATTTTTATAAATTTTAATATATTGATTTTTATAAATAAGAATAAAAATGATATAAATTTAAAATGATGGGACCATGAAAAATTTGAAAATTCTATGAAGAAACTTAAGTGAGATTTTTATCATAATAAAGAATCTGTTTGAGACCTCTTCCTTAAAGGATTTCAAACAGATTTTTTATAATTTTTTTGAAATAGAAAATAAAAAACTGAAAACATTGGGATAAATGGTAACATTATGTATTTTTTGGAACACATTATTCACGTCTAAAAGGAACCAATCACTGGATAAGAATGGAAGTGGGTGAGTCAATGGATGGGAAAGCCTTACGCAGAATTTATGGTCATCCAACAGAAAATCGAATATCTAGGGGAAATTACGTTTCAAATAAATGTTATATTCATTTAAACTGTTTTTTTAATCATTTTTTTTAAGTTTACTTAAATGTCGTTATATACACAATATTATGGAACTGGTTGAAAGACAATATTATCTCCACGTTTCTGATTTAGTATTACATATATATCATATGCGATGGAATAATAGTATCACATATGATTTTATTATAGTAAAAAAAGTGTTCTTGTATTCTCATAAAATAAAAGTATTCTCATTTGAACCTTTTTATATATGGGTGGAAAATATACAACCTTTTTCAAAAGAGAATTACTTTATCACATATATATATATATATTAAACAAAGTTAATTATAAATATTAATTGTTAGACTTGCAAACACACTTGCAGCAAGTTGCAGATAAAAAAAAATTGCAATAAGACCTCTAACAATTGCGCAGGTCAATGCCATTGTTGCACCCTCTTGTAAGGTCTATTTTCTAATGTAGTTTTTATTCACATTATTTTACAATTTTTATTTATATAAAGAAATATCCAATTTACGATTTTAAAAAAATAATGTTCTAAATTATATATATATATATATATATATATATATACATACATACATACATATATCAATAATTGATCGTTGACGAGATATTGGGCAAGTTACTAATCCCGAGCTAATATTGTTTACAAATTTCCATCCATGTCGTTTATTAAAAATTGCAGTTTTTGTCACTATCGTTTATAATTCTTTACTATTCTCGTTTCCAATATAACAATGTCAAATTCTACGTCTAAGTATGAAAAATTAAAATAACAATAAATTGTAAGCCATCAGAATTAATAATGTGTTCTCCAATCTGGAGAGGAGAAAAAGGAAAAGGAACAGATGGAAAATAAAAATTTATTTATTTATGTGAGAAAAGAAACGAAAAATGCTTTTTTTTTTACAAATATATCATTTATACTGCAAGGCTGCATATTTTTAATAAAAATTTAAATTGTTTTAATTTATTTCCTTTCTTTTCCTCACCTTTCCTCTCACACGTAAAAAAAAAGTTTTAGGAGAAAACTTATTATTATTTTCCTTTCGTTTCCTTTTCTTTCTTTCATATATAAAAAGTTTCGAGAACAAGAGTTTTTTTTTTACTTTCTTCTGGTTTCTCTCTCTTTCCTTTCCTTCGTAAAAAATACTTCGAGAACACAGTGCAAACCAACAATAAGTTTAGATCATAAAAACAAAAACGACAACAAAATAATAGACCATATGAATGAAAATCGTAATATCAAAACCAGAAGGACGGAAATAGAAATTTTCAACAATATGTTAGATGTTTATTGTTTTTAAACCATATTGCCATGCATATAAGGGTCGTGTTTTTTTTTTTTTGTGCTTTGCAGAAAAACGATGTTTTTTTAGTATGTGTATTAAGTTACGACTCAACCACTGGTATATGTAGGCAGGTGATCAAACATTTGGATCCGTGGAAAAGGGGGGAAAGCTCTCCGTTCCTGGTTCTCCTGTAGCTGGATCCTATTTAACAAACATCACCACAAGTTCACCACTCCCACCCATGGGCGGGGACCTACCATGGTGGTTACAGTGGCAACGTGCCACCGTATTATTTTTCGTCGAAGGGTAAAAAAAATGTAGGTTCATGAAAAGTGTAACCGTATTAATCTGTTGTGTGCCACCATATGTATTTTGAAACTACAATGAGAACAAGTTTTATTTGGTAGAGTTGGTTTGCAAGACTTTTATTCCACTCAAGACCCCAATTTTCAAATCTTATTAGTGTCGTTTTCTTAGTCAAATAGTGCCACCGATTGAAAAAAAAAATTAGTATATTTGTTTCTTATAGTCAACCGGTGTCACTGTTTGAAAATTTTTCACTATAGTTTTTTTTCTTATAGTCAAATGGTGCCACCGTTTGGAAAAAAATTCTGGGTCCGTCCCTGCTCTCACCCAGGGTATTATCTATCAACCAGAAGAGTTTATAACCAAATACAAATCATGTGCATCGTCATCAATACTAAGATATATTACAAGACCAACAAGTTTATTCGAGATCAATCTTTTGACATTAAAAAAGTAATATTTATTATTAAGTCAATTGATTAGGTCAATTATATCCCTTTGAAACCATACAAACACATTTTAGAATTAATAAATACTGTTTACTGAATACTGTGAATTGATTTTCGTTATAAGGAAACATAAATGTTCAACACTGTGTTCCATTCTGTATAGTTTTTAAGAACAAAAAAAAGAGGGTGCTACTATATTTACCGATTATGTAAGGTTCAAATTTACGAAAACACCAAGATTCAAGTTTGTTGGGTGCGTTTGGTATCAACCAGACGAGAGTAAAAGAGTCAGGGTAAAAGAATTATAGAAGATTTTTGAGTTTTAATGAATATTTTAATGATTTATCAATTTTGTCGTATATGTTATATCCCTAATTTATTTCTACGTATTTTTGTGGACAAAAAAATGCATTTTTATCTCACTTAGTCCCGTGATGACTCGATCTACTGTTATATTAGACGCATGACAATAAGTTTCTGCTCTATCATTCTTATATCAAATACACGAAAATATTTTGAATTTTTTTTGACGTTAATCATGGGTGTCTGGATCAGCTTGTGTGCACCTTAACTAATCGGCCTTGAAGAACAATCAAGAAAATCCTCGATGGCCTTGCAGACTTGAACGGTGATTTTTAAGAAAAATCCTAAAAAATTCAAATCTTATTATCAGTTGAGTTAACTCATATAAACGCATTATATAAATGTGTGATTGGTCAATCAAGTACGTTGATGAAATGATTTAAATATTAAAATTAAATAATTATCTATTTAAAGTGAAAATAATCAGATAAATTTATACTTAGATTTTATGAAGGAAAAAAACTCTATCGCGTTATTCACATATGATTATTTTAATTTTAAATTCAATTAAAATACTACGAGGGGGAAAGAAAAAGAAAAAGAAAAAGAGGAAGCTAAAAAAATGCGAAAGAAAATTCTGGTCTCCTTTGCCCCGGTCATCTCAACCTTCACTCCTACGTTTGTCCGAAACTCATCAACCACGGCTTCTTTTTTCTCTCCGCCATTGGACTCTTACTTCCAACCCAATTCTCGAGACAGGGTTTACGCCTGTAATAAAGACATTGAAGCTCTTATGAAATATGGATCAATTGAATCTGCACTCAAACTGTTCGACGGAATGCCTATACGAGATGTAATTACATGGAACATACTTATTTCCGGGTGTAAGCGTAATGGGTTTCCAAGAGAAGCCTTATACTACTATGGTCAAATGGTTTCGCAAGGATTTGTCGAGAGTTCATCTACGTTTTCGACTGTTTTGGGTATATATAGTGATGAAGGGTTATATCAGGAAGGACTTCAAGTTCACAGCAGGGTGGTTGTTCTTGGTTTGAGTTTGAATGTGTATGTGGGAAGTGCATTGATTGATCTTTACATGAGCATGGGTCTTGTCAATTTTGCTTTGAGATTGTTTGGTGATTTACCCGAGAGGAATGTTGCAACATGGAATCAGTTACTAAGAGGTTTTAGTGAATTTGGAATATCACACAAGTTGGAATTGTATTTTAGGATGAAAAGGGAAGGTGTTGTGCCTAATCCGCTCACATTTTGTTATTTGATTCGAGGGTTAGGCAAAGATAGGTTTGTTAACGAAGGTAAAGAGCTGCATTCTTATGCAATTAAGGTGGGATGGGCCGAATCAGACGTGTTTGTTTCGAATGCTTTGGTGGATTTTTATAGTGCCTGTGGGAGCCTAACCGATGCCAAGAGATCATTTCAAGTTATTCCATCCGAAGACGTGATATCTTGGAATTCTTTAGTTTCTATCTATGCATATAATGGGCTTGCAAGCAATGCTCTTGAGATATTTTCTATGATGCAAGTATGGGGAAAGAAGCCATCCATTCGTTCGTTTGTGGGAATGTTGAATTTGTCTAGCGGGAATTTAAATATTCTCCTGGGGAAACAGGTCCATTGTTTTGTCTTGAAACTGGGGTTTGACCATGGCAATAGTTACATTCAATCTGCTTTGATTAATATGTACGGAAAATGTGGTGAAATAGAGAGTTCAGTATTGATATACAAAAATGTTCCCAGAAGAACGCTCGAGGTATGCAATTCCTTGATGACATCATTCGCATGGTGTGGCATTGTTGAAGATGTGATTGAATTGTTCGGTTTGATGGTTGATGAAGCCATTGGGTTTGATGAAGTTAGTCTATCAACCACAGTCAATGCAATGTCAAAGTCATCTTGTGCTAGCTTGACAAGCTGTAAGTTGTTGCATAATTGTGCTGTGAAATCAGGTTTTGAACTCAATCTTGCAGTTTCTTGTTCTCTAATCAACAGTTATTCAAGACATGGACATGTAAAATCGTGTTGTCAAGTTTTCGAACAGCTTTCTTCACCAAATGTTATCTGTTTTACATCAATCATAAGTGCACACTCCAGAAACAGAATGGGAATCGAATGCCTCAAATTGCTTGAAGCAATGATTACCGAGGGTCTGAAACCAGATAAAGTGACATTCTTATGTGTTTTAATTGCTTGCAACTACTCAGGAATGGTTCAAGAGGGAAAGATGGTGTTTGACTCAATGAAGACTGTACATGGCATTGACCCTGATAGGCAACATTTTGCTTGCATGGTTGACCTTCTTGGGCGCACAGGCTTACTTGAAGAAGCCGAAAGTTTGCTAAAACAAGCACAATTTAGCGGTGACTCTCTCATTTGGAGTTCATTGTTGCGCCATTGTAGGGCCCACCAAAATGAAACAATAGGAAGGAGAATCGCACAAATAGTAACAAAGCTTGAGCCTGAGAACCCTTCAGTTTGGTTACAAGCTTCAAACGTCATTGAAAATTGGCAAGAAATATGCAATGAGAAATACTTATAGTTTAACTGATGTTAACAATAGCACCTGGCAAGAAAAGTGGTGGTGGTTAAATGTGGGATCTAAATGGAAATACTGCTTTTTATCCTAACAAGACGGGGCCTTTAGGACATACTGTGTTCTATTACATTCTCTAAGATGGTCAAAAGAAGAAACTTCAAAGTATATTAATCTAATGACATTCTGCTAGACGCGGGCCAATATAATAGACACTTTCCGACATGTGGATGGTAGTGCTGAACTAAACAAATGTTTGATGAGTGAAGCAAAGGTTTCCACACAATGCATAGTCTTACACTTGAAGTGTTGGGCATGTGGAAAATATTGCACCTTCATGTACTTTAAAGCCAAGATAGATTTATTACCCTCAAAACTGACCCTTTTAGCACTAATCTATATATCTGTATCTATATTATATATAACTTAATATCTCATGTCATATTTTATCTATAAACATCAAGTACTATTCAGAAGCTGATAGAACCCATAAATCATGAGCAAGATCCTCTTCATTTCTTTTCTTGCTCTGTCATTGGTTTATGGAGCTGTGGAAAGCAGTTTGTCTGACTCCTCTGACATGCATAAGGTTAAGAGTAAAGAAATAGAACACGATGAAGTAGAGTTGTGGGACTTACCATCATGGTCAAGTGAACGTGGTATCAAGGTTCTCATGAATGTTGATAGCTTTGGTGCAGTTGGAGATGGAGTTTCTGATGACACAAAGGTGAATATGCTGATCTTTTTCAATGAGTATATTCTTTGACTGTAATCCACTATGTTGACCTGCTGCATTATTGGTTTAGCAGTTCGTCGAGGATATTCACTCTGTTTTCTCTATGTTATGTAATAGGCCTTCGAAAATGCATGGAAGCAAGCATGCTCTACAGCAGAAGCGGTACTTTTGGTTCCTCCAGATCGCACTTATCTTGTTAATGCAACAAGATTTAAAGGACCTTGTGCTGAAAACTTAATTGTTCAGGTAATCTCCACCATTGCATTTCTTTCATAATAATCCCATATGTGATCTGTCCATGAACATTGCAACAATTTCTTTTATGGGATATTTATATTCAAGTGCTAGAGGGCATTTAAGACATTTGACAGATAGTTAAAGTTTCATTTGTGTCCAGTTACACATGACAAAATAGATAACATGAGCATTGAGCTTTCATGTTGTTTTCAGTTGCATTCCTGGAAGAAGAAAAAAGGACCTACCAATTGAATGCCTAAGTTATCACATGAATATGATTGACAACATTTGAATCTGATACCAAAAGGGTCTTTGGCCTAGCTGTATGTGAGTCTTTGGCCTCTTAGGAGGTCAAGGGTTCAAACCTCACCAAAGGTGCGGAGGGTGTGTGAGTTTATTTGTTCTATTTTCCGTATATAAATATTATATACTTAAAAAAGAAACATTTGAATCTGATTGAGGAGATATCAAAAAGCTAAATGTTCAATGGTTTGTAGTTTATTATTCATTCATGATCAGCGACATTTTTTAGTTCATTTTGATATGAGCATGTTGTATTTGATATTGTCTATAGATTACAATTGCATCTAATCAAACGATCTAACAACTGGATACAGATTGATGGAACAATTGTAGCACCAGATGACCCCAAAAAGTGGGATCCTAGAAACCCTCGGAATTGGCTCTACTTTTCTAATCTCAAGGGAGTCCTTTTCCAAGGACATGGAATTATCGATGGATCAGGCAAGAAATGGTGGGCTGCTTCTTGCAAAAAGAACAAGACAAATGTAAAAATCTTGGTATTTCACATATGTCCGACTTAACCAGTAAATAACATATTAACACGCCTTTTTTCCTTTTCTTTTTGGGTCCTCTACAGCCTTGTGTCGGAGCTCCCACGGTAAGAAATTGACTTTTCGTTTAGATCTTATTGAACTTCAGGCAAACTAATAAACATTATGAATGGAAACAGGCATTAACAATTGATCAAAGCTCATCTATAGAGGTGAATGGCCTTACTATCCAGAACAGCCAACAGATGCACTTTGCTATCTCGCGATCTCAATCTGTTCGCATCTTCAATGTCGTAGTCTCTGCTCCTGAAGACAGTCCAAACACTGATGGAATCCATCTTACTGCATCAACAAATGTAGTCATTCAGAACAGTAAAATTGGAACAGGTTCTTCATTTATTTTGTTTTTTGTATCTAAATTCTTGTTCGTCTTCAAGGAAGCACCTTCAGATCGAATTCCATTATAATTACTCTGTTAAAAAAGGTACATTTTGACTTCGAGGTCAAGCATACCACTTTTCAAGTTTATATCACAATAAACTTTATGGAATATGGAATATGGAATATAACCAAAGGGCCTTTGGCCTAGCGGTATCGTAGTCCTTGGCTTTCTAGGAGGTCAGGGGTTCAAACCTCACCATAGGTGAGGAGGGTGTGTGAGTTTATTTGTTGCATTTGCCGTATATAAATATTATATACTTCAAAAAAAAAAAAAAAAAAACTTTATGGAATATACTGCATCTGTTTAAAAAAGTTTGAAGTTAAATTTCTAATAAAACCATGACATTTTTGGATTTGGCAAGTAATCAATTTTACCTCAGAAGTCAAAATGTACCTTCTCTTTATAACTAAATGAGTATGCCCTTCCAGTATGGCACCCGAAAGTGCGTTTTTATTAAGATGTTGCAAATTTTCTCTCATGTGATAAATTGCTATCCAAGTTTTGTATCGACTTTGGCTTTGCATTGCAAAGAACCCCACTTTCTTGCTATAATGCAAAAAAGCATTACACTTCGCAAGAAAGAGAGGTTTTGGACGAATAGTGTCTTGTATGATCGTCATCTTGTATTTACATTTCTAGAACTTATCCTGAGTGGGATGTACTGAGTTCTTTAGTTTGGTCTGGTTTATTTCTTGAATTTGTCCATATTCTGCAAAAGTAGTGTTTTCTTGTATTTTCTCAAAGAAAGATGGTTTTGCAACAACTCGAGTACAATCATCGTGACTCATCTAGTTTTGGATGCGATACTTAGGTGACGATTGCATCTCAATCGTGAGTGGTTGCTCTAACATCAAGATGAAGACGATATATTGTGGGCCTGGTCATGGAATCAGGTGTTTTTCTATATTGTTAATTAGTTTTCCGGAAACAATATTTAGTGATTAGTAGACAAGCACCAAAAACTCATCCCCATAATTTTGCTCATTTTTGGTTGTACCAGTATCGGAAGCCTGGGAAAAGACAACTCTACAGGCTTTGTCACAGCAGTAGTCCTGGATACAGCATTCCTCAGAGGCACCACAAATGGCCTCAGGATTAAGACATGGCAGGTACTTCTTTCGTTCTTAGGAAACATACATATGTTCGTTGGACATTTTTTGGCGCTGGTTATATGGGAATTTTAGGTGATTGTGGTTCTTGAAACAAACCTAGAGAATGTTACATCTATGGCATAGATTTCTGTTGCAGGCACCATGTTAGATGCTATTGTCCTGTGAAATTTGCAACATCTATTTTTCTAGCAACTTTTCAATCTAAATTTACTTATTCGCCGAGAAAAATGATAAATTTTTATTTGGGTCTACAAGAATCCATTATCTTGTCACTATTTGAGGGCATTTAAGGTATTTGATCTAATAGTTAACCTTGCGGTTTTTATGGGGAGGAAGAGTTTTTAGTTTCAGAAGATTCAATGAGTTCTGTCTCGAGTCCATGAAACCACCTCTCTAAATTCAGACACCAAGGCCGAATAGATTCTTTTTTAATGGAACTTACACTTGCTAACTTGTTTCTGGCACAGGGCGGATCTGGTTACGTTAGAGCTGTAAGCTACCAGAACGTTAGAATGGACGATGTGGCCAACCCCATCATTATCGATCAATTCTATTGCGATTCACCTAAAAGTTGTCGGAATCAGGTATACTCCCATTCTGTTTACCCTTTAATCTAACTATAACTCTAAACTGAGTTTTCCAAAAATAACCCTCCAACGGCTAGTTTTTAAGGGCAAGTTAGTAAAATAACATTGAAAAACAAAAAGGTCAAAGAAAAAACAAAAAGCGGCTATATTGTCTTAATGGGGCTTTTCCGGGCCGGTCCGGGCCTGGGCTCTTTGAACCTCCAATAACTAGGTTGAGGCGGGCTTTTTCAGGATTTTGACCAGGGTCAGGCTTGGGACCAAAAGCTGGGTTTTTCCAGGTCTTTTCGGGCCAGGACTGGGACAAAAATCTGGCCTGATCGGGACTGGGCTTCATGCTCACGCCATTTTTGTGCATCTCTAGACTAAAGCGCTATCAAGTATCAACTAATAGACACTTAAATATATGAGACCTCATCTAAATTGTATGGAACAACGATGTAGTTAATATGATTGTGAAGATCTAAGTACGTTATTGATATATCTCTTCATTTAAGTATCTAATAGAAATAAGATGAACGTTTAATGATCATTTTATTCATTTTGTGGTCTTACAAAGAAGAAAAACACTTGTTGTCGAAGATACAATCATCTTTTTTCTATTTACAGACATCGGCTGTAGAGATAAGCCAAATTATATATCAGAACATCAGCGGCACGTCAAAGAGTCCAAAGGCAATGAGGTTTGCGTGCAGCGACACAGTTCCCTGCAACCACATCGTTCTCAATAACATCAACTTAGCCAGAAACGATGGAAAACCAGCTGAAACTTTCTGCAATTCCGCTAACGGCTTTAACTATGGCTATGTTCAACCGTCTGCCGATTGTTTGACACCCTCTAACGACGTGTCGTTCATCAAACCACCCAAAGAAAATGAAGTCGAGCAAGATTACTTGATTCACAATGAACTTTAGTTTGTTTCCTTGATTCCTAGTTATTCTAGAGATCGCCTCGAGATAGTATTTGAACATTATCCGAGCATTCTAGTGTCGTGTGAGCGTATCGGGTATTTATTTCGAGTTTTACCGAGTATACATAGATCTTATATGGAACGTAATGTTTTAGCCTTGATTTCATGATTATAATATTTTAGAATTTTCAAGAATCTTAATTTTAAAACGTTATTGTTTATTTTAATTTGTAGGACTTTTAATCAGATAACAGTAAAGAAATAACTGTAATATTATAACGGGCCCGACAGGCCTGTCCGAATTCTTTTTATTGCCCGAGCCTATCCATTAACTTTAGCGGTCCAATCAGAACCCATCCATTTTTTCTAGAATGATTGTCTAAGCCCACTTTTCTAACGAAGTAGACGAATCGAGTTCAGCTAAGCGTACCGTACATAAACAACATGATTCATGCATTCAAAGTGCGTTTCTAACACGAATCTTATGTTGTAAAAGTAAAGCTGTGTAATTAACGTAAGAAAAGCAAAAACAAAGTGTTCATGAACATATCCATAAATACACGACTTTCCATAAGTTAATTATGAACAATACCAAGTTAATTGTTTGCGTAAAACAATATCTAAACCATGACCACAAACAATTGATGATTAATTAACAAGATAAAACAAAGCCATTAACAGTAAATAATAATACTCAAAATGCATCTGGTCTAACGGTATCATAGTCTTTGGTTTTCTAGGAGGTCAGAGGTTCAAACCTCACCAAATGTGAGGATAATGTATAAGTTTATTTGTTGCATTTTTCGTATATAAATATTATATACTTAAAAAAAAAAACAGTAAATAATAATAGTATTCCAATTAGTCGATTCGGGTCTATACGTTTTATGAGTATAAATAGTCTACTGTGAACGAAAGGAATGATGTTTATAGACACAAAATTCAGTTACGAATAACATACAAGACAAAAATGCATGACAAGATAAGATATATACCTAAAGACAATATATTTTAAAATGCAAATGTAGACTAATACAGATAATGATGCGCATCATGTCTTTTCGACAAGACTTTCATCGTCACGGCTTACGAATGATGGCACGGGTTCGACCACTTCGATTTATCTAAGTGCAATGAAAGTCGGCAATTCTTGGTCACAAGGACATCATATGTTATACTCTTTGTTACCCATTTTTCTATTTCGAGAAAACTTGGTAATTGGCTTTTAGTCGCTAAACAACAACTCTAAGATCAAATGAATTCAGATAAATCATGAGAATGACTTATCAGGTATATATTACAACAATATAAATTAAAAAAATTAAGATATCTATAACAATTTTAAATTCATAATATCTTATACTATATTATAAAACATTTAAGACAGTCTCAAAATTCATTTTTATGCATCAAATATTGTTTATTGATGCATATTGCTTAAAATTCAAGATTACAGATAAATGATGTATGAGTATAACTTTTTAAAGTTGTATACTTGAATTCATGTAATTAAATGATAAATATAATCAAATACAAGATAAACATTTCATTTTAAATATAAAGAAACTAAAATATAGTTAGGATAAACATTGAATTCTAAATTATTTTACAATAAAAAATTAAATTAAACAAATTATACAAAAAACAAAAATTATTAAATTGTTAATTTGATATTAATATCAATATATTTTTTTAATTTTTACGAAGTTTTCAAATTTATATTTTATTCAAACATAAAAATATTATCGCATTCTCAAAATTACATAAAACCGTATCAAAAAATCGATAAAAAATAAAAAAATAAAATAAAACATTAAAATCAAGACATATCGCGTTGCATTACACAAGTATACTTTTAGTAAGATATAGTATATTCGCTCGTGATGTAATTTCTATAGTAGCTTATTGTTTATGTCATATTTTTTTATACAAACATGTCATATTTTCTTTCGTCTTTCGGTTTTCCATCTTGGCATGATTTGTGAACGTATGTAAAGGTTTAGGTGGCGTTTGTTTTTTAAGAGGTGCTGAAGTCTGAAGTCTGATTTCACTTCTAATTTTTAAGAGGTGGTGTTGAAGTCTGAAATCTGAATCAGTCAGACTGTTTGTTTTTGTATACCGACAAACGTCTGAAGTCTGAAATCTGAATCAATAATTTGCTTTTGTAACCAACAAAACATATCAATATGTGTAATTTCTGATTTCACTTCTGTTTGTGTTCCCAAGGTTACCTTAATTCTTCTTTCTCCTCCAGATCAAGCCTTCCATCTTCAATCTCCACCCTCATCCCACCACCATCAACCACCGTCCACCACCACTCCTTTAAAATCCAACGTCCAAATCCACCTCTAAAATTGAAGCAAATATCCATCATGATGAAAACTACAGTGACGAAAACTACATGGACAAAAATACCTTGATTCACGAGGATAAAGGTGCACAACTACTGGTTTGCACATGAACAAAAACACACAGTGGCGAAAACCCATAGGGAAGAAAACCCGTCTGATTTGGGTTGATTTGAAGCCACCAGAGGCGATGGAGGGTGAACTCGATCGATTGAGACAATGAGGAGGGTGAAGTCGATCGAATAATGAAGTAGAAATCGGTTCTCTGGATAATTTTCAGGATTAAGAGGAAAATAAGTGACTAGGCTATCACTTAATTTTTAAGAGGAAAATAAGTGATAAGTGGCTCTGAAAGAAAAAGAAAAACAAACAGTCTGAATTGCCTTATGTCTGACCAAATCAGACATAAGTGATAAAATAAGAGCTTTTTAAAAAAAACAAACACCGCCTTAATATGTTTTTTCATGTGAATATTTGATCTCCCTTACAATCATGCCACTAAGTTTCACCTAATTACCACAATGTCACCGCGAGATGGAGCCTTTGTGCAAACCCTCATTTCGTAACGAGGGACTGATTCCAACTCTTTTAGTTGGTCAATGGCAGAGTTTTGGGTCAAACCCAAAAATTAAATATCACTGTATGTTTTTCCTATATGACCCAAAACTTACAGTGATATTCTCGTTTGCATGGACCACTTGTTTCCCGTAACGTACGAAGAACAAAGTATCCGACTGATATTATGATCATGAACCAAACTATTATGATCGCTCGACCCCACCAAACAAACGTATTAATTGATAACCCTTGCTTTGCCTATTTAAACACCAATTCAATCCTCATTTTTATTTCTATAAACAACTACTTGTAAACATGGGTGGTTTTAGTTCTAATAACTTCACATTTCTAGTTCTAATTGCTACCTTTGTGTGGTTCTCAAGTACTACTGAAACTTGCTATGCCACAAGGACCAACCATTGGAGGCATGCTAGAGATGCCTTTGGTTCACACCATGAAGAAGCCCAATATCAAGCCATTCTTGATAAATCGGAACCAAAACATCCGCCTCTGCCGCTAGAAGAACCGTACGCTGATCCTCCACACCAAGGTTCGATGTTTAATGTGCTCGACTATGGAGCTAAGGGGGATGGTACATCCGATGATACAAAGGTGAGCTACATGTTTTTTTAGTTGGGTGTCCCGAGCTATGATCAAATTAGAAACATCAGTCCTGATAAGCCCAGTGCAAATGAGATATTCTACCACATCCCCTGTATGGCATGGGGCCTCAAAAAGCGGTCTATTAAGACACTAAACATTGTTGACGTCTTATGTATAAATATATTGTAGTGAGTACTTGTGTAGTTAAAATAATTGTTGGCATTCCAAGTAATAATTGTACGACACAGGCATTTGAAGCTGCTTGGGAAGATACTTGTAAAGTCGAGGCATCAATGATGATCGTGCCATCGGGTTACAAGTTTCTTGTCGGACCCACTTCGTTCTCTGGCTCGCACTGTCGTAAAAACGTTCATTTTCTGGTACATCACACGGTCATACCTTATTCTTGCAGTTTCAAAAATAGTACGCATATGTTTAAAATTCAATGAAAAACCAGCAACTACCTTTGAAAGTATAAATGCTATACATAGGCAAATGGTTGGTATATAAATGTATAAGAAAAAGGTAATAAATCTTGGGCCCCACTAGCCTTAGCCACAAAGTGAGCCAAAAAATGTCCTCTCACATTGGTGTCCTTGAAGACGGATTTGTATGAGATCGGTTAGAGTTGTTGGTAATCAATTTTTACTTTGAATAAATTTATGCCGCCAACTTATTACGCATTATAAACAAGAGTACGAGTATAACAATAATAAGTTCATACATAGTATATAGTTGTCATTTTTATCTAAAATATATATCAAATATTTTTGCAGCTTGATGGTACAATCTTAGCTCCAACGGACTCCGAATCATGGGGTTCGGGTCTCGACCAATGGCTTGAATTTACAAAACTCATAGGATTCACAATCAAGGGAAAAGGCACCCTTGACGGAAGGGGTTCGGTTTGGTGGACAAAATCTAAACTCAATGAGCAGTCAAGTGGCTCGGTGGATGCGAACATGCCGAGTACTAGGCCCATGGTAAGGACCAAATGAAGTCAGAAGCGTCTTTTGTTAACCATGAGTGTTATATAACATATACTTCTTTTTGTACAGGCGTTGAGGTTTGTTGAGGGTGCTAGTGTGACAGTCACAGGCATAACAATCCAAAACAGTCCCCAATTCCACCTTACGTTCGATAACTGTGACGGAGTATTAGTACACAGTTGCAACATCTCGTCTCCGAGCGATAGTCCCAACACCGACGGCATTCACTTACACAACTCCAAGAATGTGATAATCCGTGACACAGATCTTGCTTGTGGTAACAACTTAACTTGTTTTATATGTGAGATTAATTAATATCGAGTGATCCGATGGCTCATATATCAGATATTAAAGTGGTATTTGAATTTATGTGGTGAACAGGAGATGATTGTATATCTATACAAACAGGATGCACAAATGTAGTTGTACATAATGTGAATTGTGGACCAGGGCATGGAATAAGCATTGGAAGCTTAGGATTGGATGGCACAACATCATGTGTCTCCAATATCACTGTTAGAGACATCAATATGCATAACACAATGACTGGTGTTAGGGTCAAGACATGGCAGGGTGGGGCAGGGTTGGTAAAAGGAGTATTGTTCTCAAACATTCGAGTTTCGGAAGTTGAAACTCCGATCGTGATCGATCAGTACTATTGTGATCATGGCAACTGCAAGAACAGCATATCCGCTGTTGGTATAATGGATATTGCGTATCAGAGTATACGGGGAACGTATACGGTACAACCTGTGCACCTGGCATGCAGTGATAACAAGGCTTGTATGGACTTGGTATTGTCTGATATTGAACTCAAACCAAACCCAACAGATCAACAGATGTATAAACCATTCTGTTGGCAGGCTTTTGGAAAGATGAATGCTCCCATCATGCCTGAAATTGATTGTTTACAAGAAGGCCAACCATCAAGCAGTTGGGATGCCAATGATGGTACATGTGCAGCAGCATGATTTGAATACACTTTGGTGCAACAATGATCCATATTCTGTTCTATTATGTCTTGTATAGTATACCAAACGCACCCTTAAAAATGAGTGGAATTATAAAAAATACGCACAAGTGGTTTGAACGTCTAACTATAACTTATGAAAGAAAAAGGTTTGGCCATTAATATATCGTATAAGAGGCATATGCATAGATAGATAGATAGATACATGATTAAAGAGGAAGACGGTTAATTTGTAAGAAGACGAGAAGTTACATGGGATATAAAACATATGATCACATCTGATACAAACATGTTGCATTGACCGGTCATAAAAGGATGACCTTTCCCGTGACTCTTGATCGCGTTGACCAGGTTACCCACATCCCTTTTGAACATATTATATCAGTTGGCAAAGGGACATGGTGACCGGTGACTTTACCCGATCATGCACAAAAAACATTTTTAATAATAAAATAATATATCTATTTGTTATTATATTGTTTTATTAATGGATTAAACTATTAATCTATATATTTAATTAGAAAAATTGAATAAAATATTAATACAAATTTTTAAAGGCTTACTATATTGACCTCCAAATATAGAGTTCAACATTTTAGACCTCCATTTTTTTAGTGTTTTAATGTTGATTTGAAGATGAAAACACATCTATTTTTGTGTCTTTAGGCATTGTTTGACGAAAAATAAACTAGCTTATAAGTTAACTTATTTTTTGGATGGAAGTTTGGATGCACATAAGATAACTTATTAAAATGCTACTTAGAGTAAGGTTTTGGTATTTATATGATATGTTAATAATTATTTAAAATCATAAATAAAATTTTTTTCCTTAAATTTACCGTAATAAATCCAAATATTATAATATACATAATAATAAAAATATTATATTTTTAATTTTTTTTTATCATTTTGTTTGTATTAGTTAAAATATTAATATAATTAAAAATTTGTTTCAATCATATTTTAAAATATTATAATTAATTAAAATTTCAAGATGTCATTTTTTATTATTTTATATTTTTATTAGTTAGTTTTGTCAAACATGACTTATTTATTTTTATCGAACATAATTTATTTATCAAATAATATTTTTAATATTGAATGGGAGATGATATTAGACTAGTTAAAATTATTGATAATCAATTTTTTTTTACAATTATAATCAAATTTAATCTTTGAAACTTTCCTCTCACCATGTCTCATGTTAACCGCCACGAGATACGCATACGTATAATAGATATGTTATACGGTTTCTTTTGCTTCGATCCAGTCGCGACTCTTCTCCCTCAATCAGGCTGTAGTACAAGTGAAGGCACCAAATTCGTTATAGCTCGCATGTTTGATTCAAGATAACAGTCTCCTGTATATCAAATTGGCAGAACCCTAACTGTTTAATGATCGAGATTATTTTGATTTGATGAACCTTCTTAGGAAAAACTAATGACTGGGAACGAGTTTCGGTTCTTCTTGTCTTGTGACATCAATCTGCCAGTGACTTTCAGAATTGAAAAGTTAGAAGGACATTTACCTTCGACTAATTCCTCTAATCCAGGTGAATTCCTTTGCGATCCCCGTTTTTTGATTTGAATTTTGGTGATTTTATGAAACCCTAGTTCGATACTTTGGTACCTGTTAGTTTACTGTTTCTTTAGTTTTGTTCTAATTCAAGGAAATAGTGCTTTATTGCGGGCATCTTTTTAAAGCAGTTCATGCTTCTGAATTTTTCAATATTGACAACGATACTATAGGATATAATCTAAATGTTATGGAAAAACATTCAGTGCTCGTGGAGTATACATGACGGCCAAGACTGTAGCTTCAATGAATGTTACCATCAAACGTACCACAATTCCTCTTTCTCCTATTAATTTTATACCGTCTTCTAAAAGGAAAATATGGTACTTTTGGTGGGAACATTGGTGGTAAGACATATATTTACTCTAATGACTTGGCCAAGAAGATTGTGAGTTAGCTCGACTGTATTATTCGTGGCATATGAATGATCTGATGTTTCCATGATCATGTATCCACCAACGATCCATAGCTTAGTATTAATTACTGGTACCCAGTGCTAAATATCTACTGAAATTCAAGATGCCCCATTTTTAAATTTGGGGTTTACTCACATATATCCTTAGTTGTTTTTGTGGTTTAATGGTGTATCAAATGCATTATTGGTCATGTTATGAAGTTAATTTCTAATGTCTACTGTGATAAACTTGAAATGATGTAAGAAATTGATCATCATGTTTCCATTCTGTTATTTTGTCAGTACGGGAAGAAAATAAATTGTGAATTATCAAGTAACTTATTTGATGCGCATCAACTTGAGCACCAAAATCTACCCACACCCACCAAACAAGTATTTGTATGTGAGATATATGACAAGTCTTAGTTGAATATGCAGCGGATTTAGGTGGCGTTGTTGATGACAACAAACCAGAGCTGTATGTTGAGTGTGCATTGTACATTGATGGTGCTCCATTTGGGCTTCCCATGAGAACAAGGTTTCTGTAGCACGCCTTTTTAGTGTGTCTATATATTTTTCTTTTCCAGGACTATTTTAATTACTAATGAAATTATGTTCAGGCTAGAGTCTTCTGGACCACCTATTTGCTGGGGAGAACTCATTACATTGAGTACCAAATATCGGGACTTGACTACAAACTCTCAACTTGCATTAACAGTAAGTTACCAGTTTTGCTGTCTAATAAATTCACCTGCTTTGCTTTCCCCTTCTCATCTTTCCTATCTGCATTGAGCTGACATAAGAAAACATATTTTTTTCCTATTCCAACTTTAATTCCTTTATTCCTAGAGCTCACGGTATGAAGATGTTATAGACTGTTCCCTCTTGACGATTTTTACACAGATAGAAGTAGAATCCTTGATTATTCCTCCAGCCTTCTGGGTTTTTCTCTTAGGATCATGTCCGAGAAGAATTTTTTCTCCTGTTCTATTTCATATGACTTCCGTGTCATATTAGACTTGTTACCATGCAATTCCTTGCAATAACTACCTTCTTCAGACCAAGATTTTCTAAAGCATGCAATACCATTTACTGTAGGTTTGGGATGTTTCATGTGGGAAAAATGAGGGATTGATTGGCGGGGCTACCATCCATCTCTTTAATATGAAAAAGCAACTCAAGACAGGGAAACACAAACTTAGGCTTTGGCAAGGCAAGGAGGCGGATGGATCGATTCACTCTACAACTCCTGGAAAGGTTTTGTGTTTCTTATCTTGGTCATCAAACATATCATGTTTCTAATTTTTATACTGTCCGCTTTCTCACCAATCACTAATTATTAATGTGTGTAGGTTCCTAAAGAGGAGCGTGGGGAGTTGGAGCGATTAGAGAAGCTTGTGAATAAGTATGAGAGAGGGCAGATCCAGCGAGTTGATTGGTTGGACCGCCTTGCTTTTAAAGCTATGGACAAAATTAAAGATCTTGAAAGCAGTAAAAATGGAAGTTCTCATTTGTATGTGCTTGTTGATTTCTGCAGTTTTGAACATCGAGTTGTTCTACAGGTGTGTTTTATCAATTCTCTTGTGCAAGACTTTCTCTTTTTCCCGATTTCTTCAGCTATCTGAAGTCCATTAGTATGTTGAAAGCATTAGTTCTGAAATATATTTATCATCAGAGAAAGCCAAGAATAAAATCTTGAATGGAAGTTTTATGTTGCTGATGCTGTGAATTCTATTTTTGACCCTTATGTTCTGATATGCTAGGAATCCGGGCCAAATTTATTAATACCAGCTTCTATAACTTCAACTAATGAACTAGTTACTGTATGGGACCCGGAAGTAGGGAAAATCAACCCTTCTGAGCACAAGCAATTGAAGCTTGCAAGGAGTTTGAATCGTGGTATCATTGATAGAGATCTTAAGCCCAGTTCTACTGAAAGGAAGTAAGTTGTTCTAAAAGATGAATCATTTGGTTTTTAAATGGTGTTACAGTATCTGTATTCACTTGTATCACGGATTGCAGGCTGATTGATCCTCTCATTTGAGTCTTTTTTCAAAATTAATGTTTTATATTATATGCTTTCTATCACATTGACATCGATGGTATATGGCTTCAGACATATATCTCTCTCATCCTTTGGATAGTTTGTGCTTGCCACCACCCATATGAGATGTTTGATCTTTCGTTCCAAAATGATTGGGCCAAACACACTTTCTGGATTTTTTGAACAACTACTGCATCATCTTTTTGTAGTTCTTCATTTGACGAGACTATGCTAGGTATTGATATGAAAAATTGGAGGAGACACCTTGGAATCTGAAATTTTAGACTAAAGCAGAATAGAACTGAGTAAATGAATTGCAACTTAGTGGTGTTGATAGGGGAGTAGAAGTTTAGGTACACAAGTTTGGGCAAGATGAATGATATGTTCACTTATTTGAGATCAGTTTTAAAAATCGAGGAGAGATTAGAAATAGGACAGGAGCAGGGTAAATGAAACGTTGAGAAAATTCTAGAGTCATAGCGATAAGTTTGATAGACGCTTGAAAGGCCAGTTCTATAGGAGATCTGTAAGACCTACTATGATTTATGAGGCTGGATTTTTAGGCCATAAAAAATAACGTTACACAAATAAATGTAAGCAATTTTTTAGGTAAATGTGTGACCATGCAATGATGGACATACTTAAAAAAAGGATGTTCAGTTGCTCCACCAAACTACAACATTCAAACAAGTTGGTAGACCTATGAATGTTAAGGTGGATGTGTGGCCGTATAACGAAGGTCAAAATTAGAGAGTAGTACACTTCAATATCATCCAGGATCCCATTTTTGCCTTTTGGCAATGCATTCCTTCTTCATCTGAATATGTAGAACTAATAGTTCTTTCTCAAATGAAATAAAGGAATATTCAGTAGAAAGTGTCGTCGTCGTCATCATTTTTTACTTGGTAACAGCAGAGTGGCAGGTTCATTAGATGTAACACTACAATGACAGGTTTCCCATTATTGATATCATGAACTTATTTGTTGACATTTTAGCCTTTTGACACTTGTTTGGACATATTTGAAGTCTGTTTGCCTGTAGTTTTTGCAATACATGAATGTATATGTATATGCATGAAAATGTCTAGAAAATCACCTACCATGGAAAGGGATACAAGTTAATAATTGATCTTTACCCAAAAAGGGTTATACTTGATTCTAACACTTCAATTTGTGCAAGTACTATGTGTCTCTGATGCGTCAGGATAGCCTTTTTTCACATAAATGGTGCACATAAAGGTTTCTGGGATTATGATATGTGATCTTGTAGGTCAAGATCACAAAATTGGCCTGTATCTTCATTAATCCTTAGCAAAGTCCCAAAGAATATGTTCTCACATTAGTACATATTACATGAATGGTATGCCAACTTCCCTAATAACTTTCTTTACAGTAGTAATATGGGTTGCTACAGTTTTCAGTATAAGCAGATAACGTACCTTTCCTTGATCTTACTAACTGATAGTATATCTAGATAAGGTTGTTTTTATCTCTAGTAATTCAGCTAATTACTATTTCATTACAAGTGCTAGTGTAGAGTATCATTATATCCCTGTATCCTGCTTATTAGGTCGATACAGAGGATACTAAAGTACCCACCAACACGAACTTTGAGTGGAGATGAAAGACAGTTGCTGTGGAAATTTCGCTTTTCGTTAATGTCAGAGAAAAGAGCTCTAACAAAGTTTCTCCGTTGTGTTGAGTGGAGTGATGTTCAGGTACATATGCAAGCTATTCTCCCTTCTTCATGCACATGCGTTCTAAGCGGTGTTGTTTAGTTGTATCTGTAACCATCTGGGTAAATAAAATATGCTGAATAATTCGATTTTTGAACTTAATACATGACCATTTCTCTTTAAGCAACACTGCTAATGAGAAACATGTGACCTCTGATTCTTCTCATATCGATCTCAAGAAGTTTCACTCAGTTGGTTGGTCCTCTCCCGTCTATCAAACAACATTGTGATTTCAGTATGCTTGGATCTTTCTGTATTTCAGGAAGCAAAGCAGGCAATTGAACTGATGGGTAGGTGGGAGATGATTGATGTATGTGATGCATTAGAGCTTCTGTCTCCTGTTTTCGAGAGTGAAGAGGTATGTGCTGAATACACGCAAGTCCATATGAGTTCTGCATAACTGCACACTGTACATTGAAGCAACCCTGGTAACTAGCTGTTTGTTGTTCTGTACAATGTTGTTGAGCTGTTACTGTTTACATCAAATTGTGAATTAGCTGTACAGTTTCCTAAGATCTACTGCCTGAAAGATTAAATGGACAAGAAAATAACCCCTTCTAGTATTATTACTGTTTGAATAGGCATATGCTTCTCAATTCCTCATTTCTTTTTTAATAATTACTCATCTGTTGTTACCATCAAATGAGAATCAATCCAAGTACTATTAGTATTCTGGAGTAGTTACCATCATCGTGCTACTGCTATACCTTCTTAATTACTTTTTGGTGTCAAAATCAGGAATACATCTATGATTTGATTGACTACTAGACACTCAATTTGTATTTTCATTTGAAAAGCTTTAGAGAACAATATGACATAGCTTGAGTGTATATAGTCATGATATGTCTTCATTCACAGTGGTAGTTGATGCAACTCTAAAGGTACAAAGCGAACTTTTGGTACTAAAAGGCTTGATAAGCAGGAATAAGTTAGCTTATATGGCATAAAATTTTAACGAGGATAATAAGGTTGAAAGGAGAACTCCATAGGGCAAGAATTGATCAGTGTTATGTTATATCACTGAATGATTGGTAACCAACAAACTTTCCAATTCAGAAATAGATGTAGCAGAGACTAGAACTCTCAGAAGGGCCTTGTATCCTACAGAAGATAAGACTTTCTAATATGCATGCATAGTAGATCGTAGAAGTGCGAGTTAGTATGAGAGACAATACTTGAGATTGACACTCATAAATATTTGTGTTAACTGTTGAGCATTGTTTTCTATAAAGCTCTTTCAGACTAAAATACAGCCTTTTTGCTTGACATGTAAAAGTCAGGAAAATTTTGATTGTTATGTAAAAATACATCATCACACATTACTATGAACGTATTATTTATAAGCAAGAACTTCGTTTCACCAAACATCAAAATAGATTGTCCTTTGACATAATTGTTGGGAAACATTGAGCTATTATTTATGATTTTCATGAAAATGTGTTCTGGGAAGCATTCTATGCTTAGCTAAAATTGACAACAACGAGAAAATATTTATTTGGAAAGTTCAATTGTAGTTTATTTCATTAAAAACCACAAAAGAAGTTGAAAAAACGAAAGGCCTGTTTGGTTTGGGGAGAAACCAAAAGCCAAAGGAATCCTTCTGCTTGGGATTGACATAATATTTTATTAGTGTGAAAGTTGGCTAATCAGTTGCCACGTACTATTTTTCTTCATAATATCTGTCGCTTGCTCTTCGTTCTCTCCCCTGCAATTCTTTATGCAGCTTTACATACAAATACGAGGTAGACTATTATCCAAATCTTAACTGTTGTGAATATCAATTCAGGGAAGACCAAAATATCTCAGGCAGCACTAGTTATGAAGGATATAATAACTTCACTGTAGGCTTAACAGAATGTATTCCTTTATACAGACTCAAATTATAGAAACAAGTATTAATTTCTTTCAACTAAAATGATAGGGATGAAAGAGTACATATAGTTTTAGAAATATATATCAACTGTTACAGTATCTGAAGCATTCTGTAATGTTAAACATGGGAATTTCCTGCTTTCTTCATGTTCTTTTCACTGTGATCAATATGTACAATTCCAACTTTTTAGCTTATTTAATCAAATTCTAGCACGTGGTAAGTATTCTACTTTGTTGAAGTGTAGTACTCACCAGTTGTAATTTGATTTTGACTTATTGACAGGTTCGTGCACATGCTGTCCGCGTTCTTGAAAGAGCCGATGATGAGGAGCTCCAGTGTTATTTACTTCAGCTTGTTCAAGCTCTGCGGTTTGAGCGCTCTGATAAATCTCGTCTTTCTCAATTCCTCGTGCAACGATGTATGCCTGCTATGATATCTATGAAAAAGAATCTTAAGAGTTATCTCCCAACTTGTTTCTGCAATCCAACATTCTCTTTGCGTTTTGTAGCATTGTCCAACATTGAGCTTGCTAGCTTCCTTCGGTGGTATGTCGCGGTTGAACTGCATGATCCTGCATATGCGAAACGTTTTTATTCTACGTACGAGATGCTGGAAGAAAATTTGATAAAGGTGCGGGTTCTGTTAAGCAACTACTGTAGTCCAACTTATAATCTTATCACATAGCTCATGTAGGTGATATCAATGACTTATCTTTCAGCTATCAAAGTTGTCTTAAGACTAGTCTTTGAGTTCAGTAGTGACCCACATTTTCTAACAATGCCATGTGCAAATATTAGTTATAGATGAATTTGGCCTAATATCTTATCACACCGCCAATTAATCAATGAATCATGATCACTTTACTTTTGATTTTATAGTTGGGAACTGGGGCCTGTGATGGTGGAGATGGCTTTAAGTTGTGGCAGAGCCTGGTTCGTGAGACAGAACTGACAGCTCAGTTGTGTTCTGTAATGAGAGATGTACGGAATGTACGAGGAGGTACTCAGAAGAAGATTGAAAAGCTCAGGCATCTCCTATCCGGCCTTCTTAGTGAACTTACATACTTTGAGGAGGTAATATATGATAGAAGGTCTACTGACCATGCTCTTATGTTTAACTTGTAGCTAATAATGAATATGTGGTGTGTGTCACTGTTCTTAGAGTATATCTGATCTCATAAGTTGCTCATAAACTTTGCTGGTAACATGCTTACACACATCTTGATCTTGACATTTTTAGCCTATACGATCACCTTTGGCACCAACTGTTCTTATCACCGGGATTATTCCGTCAGACTCATCAATATTTAAGAGTGCACTGCATCCTTTGCGCCTTGCTTTTAGAACAGCCAATGGGGGGTGTTGCAAAATCATCTTCAAGAAGGGGGATGATCTTCGACAAGATCAGTTGGTATGGGACTGAACATTCTTTTTTCAGTTGAAAGGCCCTAATAGAAGTTGGTTCTTTTAATTTAGATAAACTTATGCATATTTGGTCATTTGTGTAGGTCGTTCAGATGGTGTCACTCATGGATCGTTTGCTTAAGTTGGAAAATCTTGATCTACATTTAACGCCATACAGGGTGTTGGCCACTGGACATGATGAGGGCATGATGGAATTCATACCATCAAAGTCTTTAGCACAGGTATGTCTTCTATCTGAGGGTAAGCTTTAGGCATTTCAGTTGTCCCATTCTGCTGTTTAACAGAAACGGTTTGTTAGGAATACCTTGATGCTGTGATATGCTGATATATTGGCCAAGGTGTTGGATACCCAAGTTATAGGTGCCATATATCTAGTCATTCGAGAAGAGGCTATTATTATGGTCATTTGACACCTTGATTGAAAGTTGAAAGTTCTTGCATGGATATGCTTCAGTTGAACTAAAGTGCTTATATTGACCATTATTCTTTGTACAACTGTTCATGAGTTGGCTGCAATAGTTCATCTCCATCAATAGTTCATTCTTATGCCTTATTTTGTTGAAACCCCCGGATATTCTTCTGCTTTAACCTTAAAAATGTCATGAATCTAGGATAGAAGTTTCTCTGGACTCGTTCATTTACTTGTGACACCTGCTGTGATATTATATTGGTATTTTTTGTATGCAGATCCTTTCAGAGCACCGAAGTATTACAAGCTACTTGCAGAAGTTTCATCCAGATGAGGAGGGACCTTTCGGGATTACAGCCACTTGCCTTGAAACATTCATCAAAAGTTGTGCAGGCTACTCAGTGATCACGTACATACTCGGCATTGGAGATAGGTGAGTCAATCTACAATACCAAGTCCTCCTTTGGATATTTTATGATGTTCTTTTTTATTCCAAGGCTGCTTCATGTGCTATAAATTAATAATGTTTTATGTTTTCCGTTATTCATCACTATACACTTTCTGGATTTCGGTTTCTTCTTACGTTTCAGTTCATTTTTGTTTTAATCATCAGTCCACTTATCGTTGTATCTGTGCAGGCACCTTGACAATCTTCTACTTAGGGATGATGGCCGCCTCTTCCATGTTGATTTTGGTTTTATCTTAGGTCGTGACCCAAAGCCCTTCCCTCCACCTATGAAGCTTTGTAAAGAAATGGTGGAAGCTATGGGTGGAGCTGAAAGGTATGACTCATATCAAGAATCACTCAATAAATTCTTCGCATTGCAATGTATATAGGGTGACTTACTTCTCTTATCCGGCAGCCAATATTATACGAGATTCAAATCCTATTGCTGTGAGGCATATAACATCCTTCGGAAATCAAGTAACTTAATATTGAACCTCTTTCATCTGATGGCGGGCTCCAACATTCCCGATATAGCTTCTGATCCTGAAAAAGGCATTTTAAAGGTGAACCATGTTCCATCTTTTGATGATTTATGCTTGTAAATGTAATTATTCAGGTTTCATTACATTTCAAATGAGTTGGTTTTTAATTTTTGGGTAGTATGTTGGTTAATGTGGTGTTAGTTGATTCCTGTAGCTTCAAGAGAAATTTCGGCTGGACTTGGATGATGAAGATTGTATACATTTCTTCCAGGATCTCATCAACGAAAGTGTTAGTGCTTTGTTCCCACAAATGGTTGAGACCATTCATCGGTGGGCACAATACTGGAGATGATCAATCGATCAATCATCAACCATATTTAGTCGCATTTTACTAGTATTTTAGCTTCTTCATATCTGTTGTGGGCTGCTATACAGGTTTGATTCATCATTCATTGCCTAGAGTTTCATTTTCATAATATTTCCTATCACATGTTGCCAAAATGATGTTAGCAGCTTAATGAGCTTAATGGGACTCGTAGCTTATTCGGTTAGCTATACATGATTCTTTGATAGTGGCTTAATGATAATAGAAAGTGGTTTATTTAGCAAGCTTCTAGGGGGAACTTTATGCAGAAAGCCAAGTTTTTTCTAAACCTGTCCCATCCAATTGAAAAATATGCTCCTTTCATCTATAAAAAACCCCTCCTAAACAAAAACCTCCATACTCAATACAGACAGATTAATTCTTTATCTATTCAAGAATTGGTAGAAAACCAACCAAACAAATGTATATGAATTTATTAATATCTGAATCTCCCTTTTTTCTTCAGGTTGCAAAGGGCTTGTGGAGGAAATAATGTGTATAAAGATGTAAATAGTACTAGATTTGCTGTCATCTTTACATATATTGGTTTAATTAGTTTGTAAAAAATTGGCATATGATGGGTTAGATTGTAAAGAATCAGGATTGATATTATATCCATGATATATGCAGGGATTGCTGGTATTATTTTTCATTGTTAAAAACAGAAGACGACTTTTCAAGTTGGAGCTAACACAATTATGTTTCAGTCGATATTTCGGTTTCCTCTGAATTGAGCTGGCGCTCAACTAATCGAAAACTATACTTGTTTTGGTTTGGTGTAATTTTCGGTTCATATATATTTAAGCTAAATCAGTTTGTCGATGTATGGATTTTTGTGGTAATCAGGGTGTTCGGGCCAACTTTGCGTGCACCTTGACTAATTTCATGGGTCCTAATGATAGCAATAAAGACCCCCACTACGTGACATTGATAGTATCGATTCGTGCGAACTAGATTATTGCCATTTTAACTTCCCTATTAAATCAGAAAGTATTTTGGGTTTTTTTCTAAATGAATAATCACTTTTAAAAGGTCCATCTCAACATACCTTTTGAGAAAAGTAATCCAAACCAACGTATTGAAGGTCCATAAGAAAGAAAAGACTAAATAGATGTTCGGTTGGTTTTTAAACAAGTCTTTTATGAATAAAGTTGTATATGTATAATGGATTGATTTGTTTGTTTGGATTGGAGAGAATTCTATTTGTGAAAGTTTTTTCATAGATAGAAAGACGTTTTGTTAATTGGAAGGAAAATGTTTGGAAAAAAAAACTTGGTTTTTTGAGTAAAGCTCATCTCTAGAAGCTTATTGAATAAATTATTTTCTATATCATTAAGTCGTTATCGAACAATCATGTATAGTTGACCGAATAAACTGTAAATCTCATTAAATTCATTTAAGTTGCTAATAAATTGGCTTCAAGAAACACATTACAAGAATTGTTCCAAAATGTAGAGCATCCATCATCAAAATTCCATGTATGCATTTTAACAAAATATATATCATGTCTTTTCTTTTTTTTAATATGAATTGTTCGTTGAACAAAACATTAAACCATAAAATCAGAATAATTTGGAAAGAGAGTAATTCACAACCTTTTGAGAGCGTCTATTGTCATTGTAGGGAGCTGCACGGTTATTGCATGATCTAGATAAACCGTTATTTATATAATGCTGCTTTAGTTTGATGTTCGATTAGTCCCACGTCTCTCTTTCATCAATAACATCATCATAGAAAGTAGTAGCGGAGCAGGGTTTATTTAAAAAAAACACATACAATCAACAAATTTAAACTTTCATACCAATACATTTTCAAACAGACCATCAAATTAAAAAGACCGTAAAAAACATCGATTTAGTTGTACAAGACATTATAGTAAATGATTATTATTATATTGAATTTAGTATAATTTAAATAAAGGATCGTTATGTACATGCATTTAATAGTAAATCATACGTTCAAAATGTAAAAAAATAAGTTTTAATATTAATAAAAAGTTAAAAATAATTTTCTATTGCAAAGATGATTTTTTTTTTATATCTAATACGGATTTTGTGTGGGACCGGTTAAGGATGGAAATAATCGATTTTTTGCCCTAATTTTTATTTTTGTATTTCTAAATTATGAATTGAATTTTTTTTTGGAAATAACACTCACCCCTGTAAATTGTAATTGAATAGGCTATTTCAGAAAAAATGTTAATTAATGGTAATCAGCAATGTCCGGGGGTTATTTAACCTCAATTTCATATCTGTTTTCTCGCCCCTTTATTTCACAGACTCCATTTCTCTCTCTCTCTCTCTCTCTTCCTCTTCCTCTTCTCTATCTCTCACTTCAAATCGATCGATCGATCCATCTCGAACAAGCTTTTCTCAGGTAAATCTAGATCCAGATCTTTGTTTTCTTCATATTCGTCTCAGATCTCAAAGTTTGTAAGTCCGATTCAAACTTTGTGTCTCATTTGCATCAGGTGATCTCCTTACTTGTTGATTGCTTGAAGATTGTGTGTAATTCTGTGTTCTTTATGCAATCAGGAAATTTCTGGATGAGATTGTTGTGTTGATTTAGATTTCTATGGTTTTTAATGGAATTGGGATTTTGTTGATGCATTTTTGAGATTTTTTTCTCCGATCTGAATGTGTACCACTGTTGCTAATCGATCAACTTTGGTTAGATCTGTTATAAGCATGACTCTCGTCGTAGATTCCGGTTGTGATGTGATCGTTAGTTGGTTTGTGAAGTTTTCATTTGGTCATACCTGTAAATCCTTATGGTTTTATCTCATTTGGAAAGAAATAGTGGTTTTTTGTTTTTAATTTCGGTTTCTAGATACCAGGGCCTTCTTTGTTTCGATTATAACAATATTTTACTGCCGAATGAAAATTGATACATGCAACTCGAACGCATTTTCTCAAGTTCTTCTGCGTCTTCCCTACTTGTGGTCTCTGGTAACGGTTGTCGCCTTAATTTTTCTAATTGATCGGATAGAAAAAGCATCTTAAAAGTGCATGCATTTTTTATGAATGATCACGTTTATTGGAATTTTACAATCCGTGACGACTTCTGTTTCTTAGGTTTGGTGATTCCATTGTGCGAATGAAGTTTGAATTTAGGATTCTTATCATGCATAGTGGCTTCATGTTTGGTTGCCTCCTTGAAGATTTTGTTATGATGTGTTTTGATCTGAATATTTTATCCTCTAGAGGTTAATTTTATGGCCTTGTTTATTTGAAAAATAAGTCTTTGAAACTTGAATGTAGATCTTCTTTCAGCTTTTGATGAAGACTTCTGTGAGTAATATAAACGTGATGGTTTTGGTGGGATCTGTAGGTCCACTAATTCTGGTTTTATATTTGAAATATAGCTTTTACACACGTATCATAATTCTATTCTATTTTAAGATTGTTTTTCTGATAAGCGAGTGTTTTTGTTAGATGGATCGTACACGGACCAGCCTGAAATCTTTTAATAATAAAATATGTCAGATACAATTGGTTGCATTACATCTGGGAAATAGTTATGCTAAATTTTAGTTGCAATTTGAACTTTGTTGTAGATCTTTCACTTTCAAGTTTCAACTAAGAATTGTTCTTTGTAGGGATCCTCACCAGCAAGAGGATGGGGCTAACTTTCACCAAACTATTCAGCCGGCTCTTTGCCAAGAAAGAGATGCGTATATTGATGGTGGGTCTCGATGCGGCTGGTAAGACAACCATTTTGTACAAGCTCAAGCTCGGCGAGATTGTGACCACGATTCCAACCATAGGTAATTATTTTTGTAACGGTCATGGTTTGTTTTGATTACCATATCCATAACTCTATATAGCCATTGCTGGACTTTACATCATGTGCATTACCTTTCTGCTGTATGTTCAGCAGCAAAATTGCCATTTGAGTTGCAAATATGGAAATGCTTGCTGACTCATTTACAGGATATGCTATCAACTACAGGCATCTTTAGTAGTTTAATAGCTAAATCTGGTTATTGTTTGCAGGTTTTAATGTGGAGACTGTTGAGTACAAAAACATAAGCTTCACAGTGTGGGACGTCGGAGGTCAGGACAAGGTAGAAATGTCTTCTTTTGTATTACTTCTAAATACAGTGTTCTAAGGAAATGATTATGGGGCGGAGGTTGTATCCATTGGCGCTGAAGTACATATGTGTACATTTATGTGTCATATATGCAGATTCGTCCACTATGGAGGCATTATTTTCAGAACACACAGGGGCTTATCTTTGTGGTCGATAGCAATGACAGGGACAGAGTTGTTGAGGCAAGAGATGAATTGCACAGGATGTTGAATGAGGTAAGTTTGCATTTGTTGAAATATACTCTTTTAATGCCTTCCGTCAAAAACATAGGGGAATTCAGACCTAGGCTTTATTTATCTCTTTAAATTTATTCAAAGTGGATTTACTTGCTTATCATCTGGTTACCTCTTCTTGAGCATGTGTGTTGGTTTCTAGTCCTTGTCTTATTGCTTTGCTCGAGAGTGTACCTGTACTCACTCTTTTTCTCATGTTGCATTAATTGTAAATGAAATTACTTTTCTATCTTATTCAACAATAACATGATAATGCTTTGGTCATTGTGCCTTCCAAAATGGGAAGTAATTATTTGAAGCTTCATTTACTTTTGCTCTCTATACCTTCCCTAAAAATAATTTTCTGAAAATGTTAGAAGGTCAATTTCTTTTCAAATTTGCTGCAAAATACTGTACCGCATCCCAAAACCAAAACCCCATATACGAAATATAGAATGATAAAAGGATAAATCCTGGATTAAGATCGTGCTTCCTTTTTTCCAGTTTCCCCTTTTCCAAATTGAAATTAGCAAAATAAAAACTTTATTTCAATATATGAAACTTAAAAGACAAGGAAAATTATAATTAGTTTTTAACTAAATTAGTAAATTTCATCCAAATTACTGTTATAGTAAGCAAAAATAAAACTCAAAAGTTATAGGTCTAACGATTAAAGGCTAAGGGCCTATCTGTTAGCAGCTTAATAAGCTTAATGGAACTAACAACTTATTCGCTCAATTATGCATGACTGTTTCGTAGTGGCTTAATGATATATAAAGTGACTTATCCAGTAAGCTTTTAGGGGGAGCTTTATAAAGAAAGCCAAGTTTTTTTTTCTTCCAAACATGTCCCTTCCAACTAAAAAAACGCTCCTCACATCTGTGGAAAAACTCTCTCAGACAAAAACTTTTCCAAGTTATATAAACAGATTAATTCATATAGACAACTTTATCCATATAAAACTTAATAAAAAACCAATCAAACGGCCCCTAAATCTAATGCGGTAATGCCAAACCTCAAGTAAAAAAAGGCAAAAGAACAATAATAAATTGTAAAATTCATAATTTATGTTATTGTGCATTGCAAAGAACAAGTGCCCATTAATTAAGCAATATCACAATATGTTGTTAATGTTGTGCAGTGTGCTCCAGCTATGTTGATAGAGTGATGTGCTCATGTGCATTGAAAATTTCATTTCTCATATATTTCAATATGCAAGAGGAAGACTCATTATCAAAATGACAAAAKCCCCTTAGCCTTAGCCTAGTAGGTCAATAACCCACACGACCACATGACCCAACTTTATAATAATCAGTTAGAAATTTAGATTTTTTTTGCAACTCACACAGCAACTTGGTAAGTTCAATCAACAGAAGAAGTCAATAATTCGAGAATTCCATCTTTGATTTTTTTTGAATCTAATTTCATGATCGTTAATCGGCTGGAAAGAGAACTCCCATGCCTTGAAAATCAAAAGAGTCGAACTTTGAAGAACAATAGAAATTAGATTGAGTTGTTGGAATGATGGCGTTAACCGGTTCACAATATGCATTCAATATTCATCACTACTAGGCCTTGGGCCTGTTTTTATAGTTAAATCTCAGTTGTCCAATTCTCAAATTATTAAACCCAAAACTAGTAATAGATGACAACTTGATGCCCCTTTAGGCTTTGATGCCTTGTGCGGCCGCATGGGCTGCACGTTGCCAGGGCCGGCCCTGGCTTTAATACGTTGATATTTGCATCACTCATTGGATTGGTAGAACAATAATTTTGATTCTTCAGTACAATTAATTTGGGTTGGAGCAGACCAGATATTGAACATGATCTTTCCTATTGATGGTCTTAGGGGGGACTATGATTTAGAGCCAATCAAAATTTTGTTATTGGTTAAATATTGCGTGAAATTTATTTTGTTGCTACCTTTAAGGAGTTCAAAAATGACTACGTGCTATATTTACTTATTTATGCCAGGATGAGTTGAGAGATGCAGTTCTCCTTGTCTTTGCTAACAAACAAGATCTCCCAAATGCAATGAATGCTGCTGAAATCACTGATAAGCTCGGCCTCCACTCCCTCCGACAGCGCCACTGGTAATAAATGCCGATTTCTTATCCAATGTTTGATTATCATTATATTACAAATGACTGTAAGAGTTTTCCAACATGTTATTTGTAGTACAAACTAACCATTGCACTTGCATAAAAATGTCTGAAAGCACTTGTTAATGCCGGACTGAACGATTCTAACCATCGTAGAGTAGTTGAATTGCAGATGAATAGATGATCAGTATGCAACAGAACTAGAAGTATAATTGTTAGAAAGCTGTTTCATTCTACTATAAGCTCATTTTTTTTTATTAACCTGGATATCCAACCCGCTATGCGAGCCGACTCATCCCAGGGCGACCATCTGCTTAGCAGATAGCCTGGAGTCACCGCATTTGAACCTCCGTGGCCACAAGGGGATTTTTATTCCTCCTTGGATTTGAACCTGGGACCTCCTGGTACTTTTGACCTTTGAAGCCAAGCTCAAACCAATCAGGCACCACCCTTGTGGTTTACTATAAGCTCATTGTTTTCTTTTGCTCAGGTACATCCAGAGCACCTGTGCAACCTCTGGAGAAGGACTTTATGAGGGATTGGATTGGCTTTCCAACAACATAGCAAACAAGGCAAGTACTTAACTTTTGAGTAAAAATTATTTGTATGGCCTATCAAGTAAATAAAATTTCACAATTGTAGCATAAGAGTATATTTAGCCATTGTACCTTATGTCCAGACCACTTTTTATCCAACGGTGCTACTTTCCTAGCTACAAAAGCAAATGATAACCAGTTTGCAGTTCTTAAAATGATTTTACGTTGACATGCATCAAGGGTCAATCTATTGGTAATGCTAGTTTTCGGCCAAAAAGTAGTTGAAGCAGGGAAAAGATTAGAATGGGCCAAAAATTATCATCGTTTGGTAGAGTGGCCAAACAAACATTTTTTCAATTATCATCTGATACTACAACAGAAATGGGTTAATTTGACTCTTTTATTTTGATGCTCATTAAAACTCTGTACTGCATCTTTTTACAGGCATGAGGAGATGATTGATTTTGTTGGGAGGGTGGATCTTGGATGCAAGTTTTGCTTTTAGGTTGGGCAGTTTATCGTCGTTGTGCTTCTGTGCACTGTCTCTGGTTTTGGGAACATGTCCTTTTAAAAAAGGTGTTTGGCTTTTGATATAGAAGTTATGGATGTGTCTAATTGAATATATTGTTTGTTTTTGTTTGGGTTGCAAGTATTATTATGTGTTAGGCTTTTGATTCATCTATCTGAAGTTGTAAGAGAGATTATTATTATTATTAGAAGTATGTAGTTTGTTGGTATTCTTATGTGCTGTCCAATTATGATCTCCTTTGTCCTTCAACTTTGGATGATATCTGCAATAATAATAATAATAATAATAATAATAATGTATCTGAAACAGCTTTATTATTTCTAGTGGTCACGTCTCCAACTGATACCACCAATAAAGCATTATAGATATAAAAAGTGAGTCAGCAAAACGATACAGTCTAGTATTTGGACCAGGGCTATTCCTTTCCTCGGGAAGTAGCTCTGTTTTGGTATCTCTTGTCTCTTTCTATTCTTTATTCTTGTAAGGTTGATGAGATGTGCAAATCTTATCTTATGGTTCATAACAAGAATATTGGAATACGTTCACATCAAAGGTCCATATCATGTTATTAGGAGCCATTCAGTCTGGACTTTTTTAGTGCTTTACTAGGCTATATAATAGATCAAGTCTTCTAACCATTATATTATATTTCATTTCATCCATAATTTTATTTAAGAGTGAATAAGTCGCTAATCATTGCATTTTTTTAACCAAAATGAACCATCATATTATTATTGCCCCTAAATGTTTGATATGTATGGTGTGTTATAGTTTAGTATTTCTCATCAGGATTGAGTGTTTCAGAAGTATTTTTGTTCCTGTATTTGTCATGCTTAATAGATATTTTCATTATCGTTTTTACATACGAAATTAATAACTTCTCACGGCGTGCTTTTTTGTTTGTGTTGTAAAAATATCAAGTTAATTAAAGCCCTTTTATTTAGATTTATAAAATTTGCACGGCACTCCTTGAACTTACCAAATGCACCTTAAAAAACAAAAAGAAGTGGCAAAGACGTCCGGAGCAGAGTAGATCCACCCCTACATGCTTGTATTTTTATAGCAAAAAAGACCATCAAAAGCATCCAATTGCTTAATGTTTTTTTTTGTTTTTTTATTTTATTTTGAAGTTTAACTTACATAATAATTAAAATTAGATTCAATTCTTAGATATAATAATCCCCATGTCTACATTGCATCCCATGCTTAGAATATAATGAAATCACAAATATGAAATAAACTCCAATATATTTATAATTTAATTATTAGAAAGAATCAATCTATGCATTATTTTAATGATGCATAATTTGAGCACCATGAATTCAAGAATTAATCACCTCCTATGCGGGAATTCAGCAACACTTTATGCAATATTTTCACACACACATTCATTGTTGATCATTTTGATTTTTTAAATCATCCTATTTGATCATATTGTATGTGCAAAAGGAAACTTTATAATTGTTGTTTTCAATTGTTTATAATAAAGTGTATTCTTGTATGTTTTATATGAACGTTCATTTATTTGTAATAACAATTTATATATAACGGTTTTAAAATGCAACCGCTTTAATAAGGTTTTATGGTCAAGTTCTAATTTACGATATTTCAATAAGTAGCCTTTTTATGTACAACGTTGAAATTTTTTGTTTTTGTTGTCAAACATTTTGTTCACTTTGTTTGTATCAATTTACATGGATTTTTTTTCCTTGTTTGACAGGATTGTTACGCCTACTTTATAGTTTGAACGTATCATACTGCTGATATATCCTGGAAAGAAATAGTGGTTGCTGATATATCCAGGAGCGAAGGTGGTGGGGTAGGGATGGTGGGGCAGGTTAAGGTTAAGGTTAGGGTTAGGGTTAGGGTTAGGGTTAGGGTTTGGGTAGGGGTGGGACAGGGCGGGGTGATAGTTGTGACGACGACAATAATGACATGATATTGGTAGGGTGTAGGCGGGACGATGGGTGAGATAGTCCAAACAAAGACAATTGTTTCAATTATATAGAGAAATTCCATTCCAATTCTTACTAACCAAAAGTGTGGTCAAATTTCATTATAATTTCTTCAAAATCAAATTCCTTTGATGGATTATAATCCCATCAAATTCCATTATGTGAACCAAACACCCTTAAGTTGTATCAATTCTAAAATGATAGAGAAACTGGTGGTAAAATTGATAATGAAAATTATATCTTAAAAACAAATCACTACGAAATAAATTTTGGATTACATACACATGTACATATGCAATATATATATATATATATATATATATATATTGCAAGCTAATTCACACATAAAAAAAGGTTGCACACTTCGTGGATATATTCCATTTTTTGTATTTTTTTATTTGTAAATAATGATTCATATCATGAGATTGAATCAAACTGAATTGTCATTGACCAATTCGATTTCATCTGTGTTGGAATTGTTTGTAGTTTCAATTGGTTTCGTGAATTAAAACCAATACAACAAAGGAAACGATTGGAAAAAAGCTCGTATTAACCGTTCTCGTGTCACGATTAAACCATGTGTTAAATCGTTATTGGCACCTGACCATCCATCAAAACAAAGGAAACAGTTAAAAACTTAGGATCTAATCATGTGTCATACATCATCTAAATCATGGCAAGATGCCATTTCAAAAAGACAATTTTACAACCCCTTTAACCATTTGAAAATTTGAATAAAACAAAATAAAATAGACCACTTTTTGTCATTTCACATACAAGTTCCGTCTGCGATACGGGTTTTAATTAAAAAAAAGTAGTATTACTTTGTAGCGACCTCCACTGCTATATGGTATATATTGAGAATGTTCAGTGCAAACGATACAAAAATCGGCAAACAAGAAACGGCATGAAACGCACCATTTACCCAAGATGCCTACCATGATTGTTGTAGCATTTTGTTCCTATTATATTGTGCATGTGTTGCACCATTCCGTTTTGATGATTTGGCAAAACGACTATTCTACTAACGAACTATTTTGATACTGCGAACTATAAACTATATTAAATTATAGATATTCAGAACCCACGTTAAGTTTAAAAGCTCTGAATCCAACATCGGGAACGACGGGAAGGATCCGAACCACTCTAAATCTCATGTATCTCTTATTTTCTTGAAACCATTTATGTTTTGTAAGTCGTATTTTGTTTAATATTCCTAAAACGTAAAAACCGTCAAAAATCAAAAAAATGACGAAAACAACCGATTCACTCTCTTCTAGATTATCTAACAACATTCATGAATTCGTACAACCACCACCACCAATTTTGAAAACAAAGTCACATAATAAACAATTCACCAAGAATCCTTTATGATCAGCACAAACAAGCAAGCAGCTAAAACAAGACGACTTGTATCATTTATCTCAGTCTAGAAACAAAACGCATAGTTTTTAGACGATCCAAGAAAAAAGATACTGATCTTTTAGTAACGGATAACCAACGATGTGTCTTTCCGTTTCTTTTTCTTGAAAAAACCACCAAAAACACCGAGTTTTTAAAAATAGAAAAGATGAATATTCTAGTATTATATCGGATGTTCTTGAAACGAGATAGTCAAAAGAAAAGTCCCAATCAAGAAATGGCACAAATTAGATGGCTTCATTGGGGGTCCAACAATCTTTGAAAGATATCAACACATTGTATCTAAAATTCCAAAGTTGAAAACTCCTTCCATTCAAACCCTAAATTAAGCAAGCCACCAATGGAATGGAATATTAGTAATGGTCCTAAGGGATGGCAATAAAATGTGCATTTGGACACAAATTATTTGTATATTTATTTTATTACTGTATTTTTATTCGGTTTTGACCGAATCAGATACATTTCTTTATCTATAGATCTTAATCTGTTCTTATCTTATTGAATATTAAATGTATGAAGCAGATGGGATGGGTATGGCAAAAGATAATGTGTCAAATTGATGTTTCAGAGAAAATTGTCGAATGGGGTCATAAATTAGGTAAGGTTGAATTGAGCTGTTGTATGACAAAACCTGTTTTTCTTTGTTACTTTTTCAATCTGAATATTTATTTTATTAATAAGAACGAGTTGTTGACATGAATAAATATAGCATAAAACGAAAGGTACACTGTAAAGCAATTAAAAAAATGACTAGTTGGCTTCCATGCGAACGGATTAATTACAAAACAACTGCAATCGACTTTGTTTTGATTTATGATTTGGTTACGGAAAAAACTAACTTCGTATAGAAAATCATTTTATGTAATATGGACCAAGTTGGTTATTGTTATAAGGAAATCTTGAAGGGCTGTAATATAATTTGTAGCATTGCAAGCCTAAACAAACTGACTTGATATCATTCAAATCAACGTACAGTAATGGTGAAAACTATTGATAACCCACGATTTAGTACTTACAAGGAGATTGAACTTCTTGTTCACTATCAATGTGGGATGAGTTGTTACACATACTTCTAAATTTTTTACCAGTTCGAAATATGATAGATAGATCAATATTTTATTTATAATCTTGAAAATACAAGTTAAGAATATAAACAGTCATGGTATAACAAGAACAACAAATGCATATTATGCATTTTCATGGAATGATATGTATAAAGGACAAAAACAATGGTTTTGGTCATATATGCTCTAAATGTGAAATGGGTTTATAGAATCATCCTTATATATAACTGGTCCCTGATTCTTGATAACCCATACAAAAGGTAAATACGATATGATTAGACCTTGGAAAAACCCGATCCATTGTCATTTCCAATTCTTTCCCTTTTTTCATGACACTTTTTGAAGTTAAAATGTAAAATTTGATAAAATATCCAACTTTGCCTAATACAACTTATTGGAGCAAAAGTATGTGAAAAATTCAATAATACAAATAGCTCACCAAAATGTAGTTTATTCAACTAGATGCTTGAGTTGGGTTTGAGTTTGGTTGGTCTAATTGTTGGTGCATAATTTAAGTAACTTACTTCAAGATACTTTATTTACAATTTGCCTCCCAAAGTTTAAGGATAAGCAGTATTTAAGACAAACAGTCCCAAAAAGGATTTGTGTATGCAGGATATTATTACACAAGAGCATAAGACCATGTGTGATCATTGTATACAGAAACAGTGGAACATACGCTTTTATATTGCAATGGATTATGTCAAGATCTTTCTACACAGTTCCAAATATTAATAGAATACCGTCATTAGTATTTTGTGATGCATTTGATTTGCATGAAACGCAGGGCCGTCCCTTAACATGTTAAATGTGAGATTTTGAACAGGACCCCCAAAATTTTAAGGCCCAAATTTACGTGTGATTAGGGTCTTTTATCGACTTGTGTAAAACTATAGCCAAAACTATTTAGGTTCAAACCATTAATTGTTTGATATTAGGTTCAAATCATTAATGGTTTAGGTTTAGTTTCACATTGTTAATCGTTATAGGCTTAGCTCATTTTTGTTCTTAACATATATTCTCTGTTATCTCATTTATGTAATGTAATAAAAAATTTTGGATGTAACAGGGCCTCCAAAAAGATTGGAGCATCCCTGATGAAATGAGCTTGTATTCAATCAACAATACATTGTGTTTAAAGTCAATTCGAAGTAAAAATAGAGTGAAAACGAGAATCACCATAACCACTAATTGTGTAAAAACAATACACCCGTTTAGTGCTAAAAACATAAGTACAAAAATTAAGAAAGTACAAGGACCAAAGTGTCAAATGATAATAGATGAGGGGGACGTTTTGATTGAAAGAAAATGTTATCCGGAAAAAGGGTATAAAAGAGAAAAATAGAAAAGAGGGGTCGTCGTTTTCTCATCGGCCAGCATTTACCCGCCAAAAACAAAGAGGGTGGGCCCCACCGATTCCTTCCTTGTGTTCTGTTCAACCTTGTACATCCGTCCCCGGGCATCGGACCGACCACCGCTATTTCCTTTAATTGACATAAATGCCCCTCCCCCTTTTTTTTCTTTACTTTCCAAAATACATATTTGGAAACAATTTTATATCAAAATTATAATTATAGTATTAGTTGTTTTATTGTTAATTAAATTATTATATTTTTATAAAAACTTATTTTCAATAAATTCTATTTCCTTTTGTACGAAAAAATCGTATATAATCATATTTCCTTATTAATGTTCATATAATAAAATATAAGAATCAATTTATTTTATTTCCATCAGAAAACAATTATAATCATTTAATTGATAATTAAATGTTATATCCGCTTAAATATACGTTTTAATTCGAAACCAAAAAAATATGAATTTTTATAATTTTTATTTTAAAAATAAAAACATATAAAACCATATTATAACATCGACTGAGACGAAAGAAATGAAACGAAATATTAAAATCGAAATGTATTTTGTTACATTGTACAAGTACCTTTCTAGTAATATATAAATACATAAAATAGTAATGAGGGTTGATTGCAGAAGCAAATCTGGAATAAAAATAGAAGGATGTTTAAATGAAATTAATTGATTGAAAAAGAAAAAGAAAAAGAGGAAGATTGAGTGAATCTCCAAAAATAATAAATGAATAAAGAAAAAAAAGTAAAAATCCAAGGGGCAATAAAGTAATTTAGAGGGAGGAGGGGGGAGAGATCTGATGAATCGAGGAGTAGTAGGGTGCGTGATTCCAGAAATTTGCTGGGTCGCGTGTTTGGTGGGGCCCACACTATACGTATTTCCCCGCCTTTACTTTAATTTCTGTCCCTCTGTCAGAAAAAAATAAATAAATAAATAAATAAACGTTATAAGAAGAAGACGCATTTTAATATTTATGTCTCAACGTCCATCCATCCATCCTCTCCCCGTTTGCGTAACCACCACCACCGCACCCCACCCATCGATTATCTCTCTCTCTCTCTCTCTCTCTCTCTCATCACTCATGAACTACTCCAGGTATATTCTCTTCTTTTTCTTGAGATTTTTGTTATTGGATTGAGTTTTTGAAGTGATGATATATCGATTGTTATTTGGTATTGTGAATTCGCAGGATCGACTGAAGTTTTCGACTTCGTTATCTGTTGTGGTTGTGATTTGAGGTAAATTTTTTGTTTTTTATTATTATTTTCGATTGTATGTATTTTGCTAATTGATTGATCGATTTGCTTTTCCTGTAATGATGACATGAGTAGATTACTAGATTTATCTTCTAGTTGCATTTCTTCGTACAAGTTACAACACTGTGTGCTATGTTTGTTTGTTTCAATTTTGAGTTTAGGCGAATTTGAGATTTGATTTGTTGATTTTTGCTATGAGTAATCTCCGATCATGAGTTTTTTTTTAATTGCAAGTCTTCTGTATTTTAGATTTTTTTGTGTAGTGTTTATCGGATGCTGAATCGACAAAGTAAAGATAATTCGCTTGTTGTGAATGTTTTCTACTTGATTGAAGTGCTTAAGCTTCAAAATTTAGATAGTTGAGGACTTGATTGATAGGATTGTAGGGGTCATATTTGGGGTTTGGTTCAAAAAACTGTCCTGGACATAGTTGATGTTTGGGCGAATGTGTTTGGCATACCTTAGCTAATAGTTATTCCATTAAGCATGAGCCTGCTGATCATCATTTCGGCTTTCGTTCAAGGATGCACGCCTGTCTGTTTCTTTAGTCATAGACTTGGTCATCCATCTCTCAAGAGTCTCAGCGGCTGTTTGTTTTCTTTTTCCTTTTCTGTAATAATCCCAGTTAAGCCAGCTGCATGGATTAAAAAATTGTTTGTTTTTTTGTGGTGATAAAAGGCACGAATAACAAAAATTGTCATTTTAACCCTTGAAAACACAAACAAAACCAGCAACGCCAGGGTTTTGGCAACAGGACAGAAATAATGGGGATGCAGTCCAAGATTGCTTATGGGTTTATTGGAGCTCCAGACGATGAGTTTGATGGCTCTGTCATGAAGAAATTTGCTGATTGCCTTTGAGCTCTCTTCAGGGAAGTCCAAAGAGGTCTGGAAGTTTGAATATCTGGAATCACAAGAAGATGAATTTCAGAAAGGTCGGACGATTTCGGTGATGAACGCTAGTGGATTTCGGTGACGACGAAGGTCAGAAGAGGACAAAGGTGGACCGAGAATTTCTTTCAAACTGATGGTACCATTGGACCATACAATAGATTAGATGGTTGGTTGCTTGCTTGCATTTGCAAACGAAGGGTCATGTTTTTGACCCTCACCGCTGCTTTCCTCCATTTTTTTTCACAAAAGCTATGAAAGAAAATCTGAAAAACGGGTATACTGCCAAAAGTGGGATTTGAACCCATGGCTTTACGGGCAAGACACTTTAACCCGATAGCTTAGACCTGCACAGCCACCACAAACTTCTATCATAAGTTCAGTTTTTAAATAAATAAGGTGCATACATAAAACATTACGGTGGCACCTTCAAAAATTTAATTTTTTTTCCCACTATGACCGAACCTTGAAGCGGTGGCACATGCAGCCATACGCTCTCATATGATCCATGTAACGAGGATCGAGAACAGGAGGAACTAGGACTGAGATCAGTTCTCAAGCCTTAGGGTGATGAATGCCGACGAGGACAAGAGGAAGGTGGTGGTCATAGATGCCATTGAGGCCGCAGGGGGGGAGGTGGTTGGTTTCTTCAGAGTGGAATTTGGGGTAGAATAAAGGGGTGTTTCAGGAATAAAGATGCCTGTACCCATTTAGCAAGGGAGGGGTGGGCTGACTGTATTCAGCCAAATTGACCTAACCGCTTAATCATTAATCCTTGAACAAACAACCACATATAGCTTAATTATTAAGCCATTAAGTGCATAAAAGCTCTAAACAAACTGCCCCTTAGTTGAATATTGGTTGCAAACACGGTCGTGACTAAAAGCGTGTGCTGCTGATGCTTGTTGTTTGTTGGTGCCCCCCTCTTTTAAGTTGTGGATAACACATTTAAACGCAATAAAGATCAATACGGAGCCCATTTGTTGTGTGGTTATTCCTTGCTTTTTAGTCCTGTGCTTAATTATTAAGCCACATATAGCTTAATTATTAAGCCATTAAGTGCATAAAAGCTCTAAACAAACTGCCCCTTAGTTGAATATTGGTTGCAAACACGGTCGTGACTAAAAGCGTGTGCTGCTGATGCTTGTTGTTTGTTGGTGCCCCCCTCTTTTAAGTTGTGGATAACACATTTAAACGCAATAAAGATCAATACGGAGCCCATTTGTTGTGTGGTTATTCCTTGCTTTTTAGTCCTGTGCTGTGCATCATACAATTTACGGTATGTGGAGCAGTCACTTTTTAAATACTACATTGTAACTCACCACTATTAACATGTGAAACCTGCCAGAAAAAAAATATGTATGAGTTGATATTCATCTAAACTTGAAAATATTTGCGGTAAATTTACTCCCATTGGATTTCAACATCATCTTTGGTAACTTTGTCTTCTTATGCATTCATCTTTTAGGACCTTATTCATAATTTTATACAACGTAATACAGCATCATGTCTGAATATATAAATTGCATTATTGCTCCCATTCTTGGCTTGGTATCCTTTTAAATTCTTTATCATATATCACTAGTCTTGTTTGGAAACATATTCTCTGAAGTAGTGTGGGAATCTTATGTTGCTGGGTGCATAGATTGTTGGATCTTGTAAAGGCATTACTTTTTTGCATTGGCAACTTGTGGCATTTGCAAATCTAATTCTCTTTGTCATTATTCTTTTGTAGGTGGATTGTCTTTGTATAAATCATTTGTAGAAGATGTTGGGAGGAAGCAACAACAATTCATTAGTCCCTGTCTTTGTTGATGAGAACCTTTTCCAATATCCTTTAAACGCATCAAATCAGTTGCAGCTATTTGGAAATGGTGAATTTCTATCCTTCTAAAACAAAAGTTAGATTTCTTACAATACTCCTATTCTCCTTGGATTGTCGTGAAGATCTATTGATTTTCATGTGAAGGATGTATTTGCTCTTTCTTTATTTACTTTTGCCACTTCCTTTCTGAGATATTGTTGTATATGTCTCAGTTGTGTTGGCTGATCGATTTGCATTTTGTGATACCAAGATTGCTGGTTAACATTTGTATCTTGTGGGTATTAAGAACTTTTTACTTCCAGGAATAGGAAACATGAAAGGTTTTAGATTTTTTAATTTTAAAATCAATTAATTATTATAACAAGTTTTTATAATTTAAACTAATAATCATTTTAAACACATATGACTGAGTTTAACTATTCAAGTTAAAATAAAAGTAGTTTGTTTGATATTCAAGTGTTGAATGTTGACCATCCTTTCAGATGGAGGTTGTATAAGTAGCGGCCTGATAATTTAAAAGTACTAGTAAGGAAACTTACTTTCTGTAACACACAAGTTTGTTAATCCACTGCCTTGTAAAGTTCTGGGCCTTCCTATCTTGTGAAACATTCAATGATGACTTTGGTAAGAAATGGTTTGTACTCTTCTCCTTAATTTTGTATCATAAAACCAAGACATCCATTTGCAGTTATGTTGAAATAGATTAAGACATGATCAAAAAATGGTTGTCTAGATGGATACTGCATGCTTTCACGTAATTGGTCACTCCTGACCGTTGGGCTCCCTCCCTTTCGCCTCCTTTTGTCAACAAATGGAAAACCTGCAACATCTTTGTTTCAAGTCTTGTTAGTTATTAGATTTGAGATGAAATGGAAGTTGAAATGTGTTTAGGGTCATTTACTTCTTGCGTTTTTTCCCTCTGCGTATGGTAATAGAGAGTTAGACAGCTTAGAGAGCTCTTCAAAGGGCTAGGTTTTTGTCATTATGTGGAAATTAGAGTTAATTCCAGACAATCTGCTTCTATCCGTGTGGGGAAGAAAAAGACATCTGTACTTGGCTATAACATTTATCTTGTACATGATGGGAGGTCCCAGTTTTCTCTTCAATGGCAGTTATAGACAACGCTTTTTCTGTTTGGCAACTTCACTCCACGTGATGAGTTTTTGTTTGGTCAATTTGCTTGTTCTGGCAGAGTCTCATGATTGCTTTTAACATTCTCAAGTTCTAATGGTATTTGTTTTCTCATTTAGATTAACATTGTTCCTACGCAGCCATGAAATGATATGATTTTTAATTATTTGATGATTACTTGTAATTCCGCCTGGTCAGAAGATTGTAGTCGTTTAGGATTCTCCTCTTGTTCGTTTATCTTTCCAGTCTTTTCAACATAAAATACATGTTGGTTTATTACTTTTGTCTTCTGTGGCTAAGATTTTACATTCCTCTGATACTTGTTTCCATATTGCTATTGTTGCTACAGTATCAACTGCATGTAATGTTGATCCAGTAAACTATTCTGCAAGAGAGCATAATAGTCCTCTCTTTCGGCCCAATAAACGACTAAGGGAAGCTGAGCCTAATTTAATGCAGAAGAAGCTTCAGATATCATTGAATCACAACTTCTATCATGACGATTCTGATCGCCCTTCAAGCATTCCAAATACACACCATGTATCAACTGGTTTAAAGTTATCTTATGACGATGAGGAGCGCAACTCCTCCATCACTTCAGCAAGTGCAAGTATGACATTAGCACCATCAATTATGTCTTCTTTTGGTGATAGCATTACAACTGAACTTGATCGTCACAAAGAAGAGTTTGAAAGATACATTATGATTCAGGTACTATTTCATTGTCCCCTCCAAATGATCTATCACACACGCACATGATTCGTCATCTTTATTCATCTTTTGCATTCTATGAGGTCATTATGGACATGGTTTTATCCCTATTTCAGATTTTTTTTTTAAATTTCTGACAAGCTTGTAATACATTAGTATACCAATAATATTGCACAATGTAAAGATACAGAAAACATTTGGCAGGTTCTTAACCGACAATTGTTTACTCGTGTAGTTGTATATGGATAGCCAGTTAGGGTACGGGCAGTTGGTAATACAAAATTACTTTTCAATGCTTCATGATCTCATCAACATAACAACATATCTTTTATCTGATTAGTTGGGCAGGGCTGATAATAACACCAAAAAATCCTATCTAGAGCCAATATTTGTGCATCTTGTCTGTAAATCTTATGTTACATTAATTATACAAGTCTTAGCACTTGATTTTGCAACATGGAGTGATGATAAAATTGTCTTACAATTCAACAGGAAGAAAACATGTTGAAAGGGATGAGGGACATACGACAGAGACATATGACTTCCTTTCTGGCTGCTATCGAGAAAGGGGTAGACCATAAACTACATGAGAAAGACGTAGAGATAGAAACCATAAACCGTAAAAACAAGGAACTGATGGAGAGAATAAAACAGGTGGCGAACGAAGCCCAGAATTGGCACTACAGAGCAAAGTACAACGAATCAGTGGTTAACATACTCAAAACAAACCTTCAACAAGCATTGGCTCAGGGAAATGACAACCAAATGAAAGAAGGATTTGGAGACACAGATATCGAAAATGATGCTGTATCGTCCATGGAGCCTAAAAATGAGGTTGGTTTGGGCAGCAGTTGCAAAGTATGCAGGGCAAAGGAGGTGTCGGTTTTGGTGATGCCGTGTAGACACCTGAGTTTGTGCAAAGAATGTGATAGGTTTACGAGTGTTTGTCCGGTGTGCCAGATGGTGAAAACGGTTAGTGTGGAAGTATACCTGTCGTGAAATAACGACATTTAAGGGGTAAAGTTTTTAAGTTATAAGATGATGAAATCACCCATACGTTTTGGTTACATTTATATATGGAGTGTTTTGAGGAGAAGAAAAAAAAAGGAGAGATTGATATCTGATCTTTTTGTTTTTACAGGTTTTGGGTAAATATGGATATTTCTGGCAAGATAATGGTTGAAATTTTGAACATTGAAGCAAGTTGGCAAAGGCCACTGAATCGGAGAGAGATTGTGAACGTGAATTCTCGATCTTTATCAATCACATGAAAACACATCGTCATGAAATACAACAAATTTGAATTAAATAAATTTAAGATATATAAAATCTGACGTGTCTCCAGGCCCAGACCACCTCCATGGGCTGAATCTTTGACCGATTATTTATTGGCTGCAAAACCAACTACAATTAATCGGGTTATGAGAAATGCAAATTTTCTTATTTGTTAAATGTTTTTATTCTACTAATTTTCTCCTTAAATATATTAACATTAAACTTTTTTTTTTTTGCATTTTTAATGAGTAATTTAATCTAATTTTAACTAAGACGGATGCATATAATAACTATTTAGAACATCTTTAACATATTTTTTAAAATAAAGAAAATGAAAGTTTTGTTATCTATTTTGTTTCATTAGATTTTTTATATTGTTCTTTAAAATAAAAAAAAATTTAAAAATTGAATGAAAGTGTATATTAGATGATAAAATAATAAAATATTTTAATAATATAATTAATGTTGAAATCTTTAAAATAAAAAAATTCATTGATATTGAATGTAATTTTGTTAAGAGATTTTGACTTTCAATTTTTTATTAAAAAGAATATATAAAAAGAAAACCCTTGGTGATGCTTAGGGCATCTCCAATGGGGTGCCATGGAGAGTGTAATGGGAAGCATGACACCCCTCATACATTGTGAAGGGTGTTATGAAGAGTGTAATGGGAGGGAGTGTAATGGGGATGATACGTATCATGGAGGAAAATGAGACCCTTTTTCTTTTTCTTTTTTAATTAAATTTGTAAGGAAAATGGGGATGATATTATATATATATATATATATATATA